TGTTTGATAGAAAAGAAGCAAACCACACAAGAGCACCCATCAAATACCCACTTTCAACGTGTAGACTTCCCCTTTATAGCCCCAATTTCTTGACAAGATGACAGTGAAACCACAAACCTAAAAAATCTTTTCCAGTAACTTAGATCTACCACAACCTTAGTGCCATCCAACTTCACCATGACAATGTCTTTCGATTAAAATACAAAGGTGTATGTGTGCTTTGAATTTTAGGTTTCCACTGCCTCAAATCCATTTCAAAACAATGAGCTTAGCTTTAGTAAAAGTTTTACGGCACTTGCAACACAATAAGGTCATATAAGTGCCAAAGACTAGAGGTGTTACAAGAGAGTAACAAACACAAAAAAGGAGGGGAGATAAGGACAATAGATCTCTGATAGGAAAGAAGAAGCAAACCACACCAGAGCACCTGCCAACCACCCACTCAAAACAATGAGGATCTTCCAAGCTATCAGGTATGATAATTAAGTTGACCACAAGTTGTGGCCAGTACAAAACAGTGTTTAGTGAGGGCTCCAAGGAGTAAAAGTTCTTTGACAAATGTTTTTATATAAAGCTGCACAGAGCATTCTCAAAAATTAATTCATTTTGTCAGTTCGTCCGAGTACAGAGAAGCACATAGACACAACAGTCATTTAGTGCAGTTTTAGTTTTAGTAGAGGTTTTACGGCACTTGCAACTGCATAAGGTCATATGAGCAGCAAGGGGTGGACGTTAACAGAGAAGTCCTAACTACAGGGAATCAGACTTACTCTGCTCACCTCTCTAGTTTCAACAGCACAAAGTCAGCTTCGACTATCAAGGCACCCTGGAAATAGTGGGTCACAAGAGTGTGACAAATATTCAAAAGAAGTAGAGGAAATGACGATGGTAAGTATTAGGAAAGAAAAAGCAGCAGTTCCCTGTTGTAGTTCAGGCACAGTTATGACTGGGCTCCTGACTCTTTTTGCAGCCTTTCTACTGCTACTCCTTGGCTCCTTCTTACTGTTGTCTTTCAGCCACATCCCTGACCTTCTGGTAGGAAAGATCTACACTTAGCCTTCTCGGACAAGGGCGAAAAATATCGGAGGTCCCGTGTGCAAGTTGCGCACGTTAAAGATCCCTTGGTGGTCTAAAATCGATAAGAGTAGGCTTTGGTCGCCACCCGTGCAAAATTCAAAATTTCCTACCGACTGAAATAGTTTAACGTGTCCTGCGCGCTCATATGACATTATGCAATTGCAAGCGCCGTAATACACTTACAAGAAAATACATTTTAAAAAAAACAAACAAACAAACAAACATCAAAAACAGAAAAAAGAACACGTCAGAACAATAACAAGGAAAATTAAAACCAGAGATGCCAACCACAGAAAACCGAAATGAGTATTGGGAAATATGAAAATGTGTATTTTCAGGGGAAAATGTGTATTCCCCACGACCGACCGACCGACCAGCTAGTTAGTAAAATGTTAAGGGGTCCAGCAATATATCCTGAAAAAAAAATACTAGCTCACCAGCTCGAAAAAAAGGGAGCACACACGCGTACAATATACATGTATCCAGTCAACAACATGTCAGTGCTCAGTGTCGTACTGGGGTCTTGTTTGACTTAAATATTTCAGTCTATTATACCGGTAATATTTTCCTCTCATTATTACGTAAAAAATTAATCCTGCTTTGAGAGTTCGGAAGGGCCTAGAACAAAGATTTCGACTATCAAGAACCAGTCTGGGTGTCATGATTCATATTATGAACTGACAGACTCAAATTATTGCTCAAACTCAGAAAAGCAATAATTTGAATGGCTCGAGTTGACCCACGCAGTGTGAGAGTAGTAAAAACTGTGGGAGGGCAAGATGCAGTGACACTGAAAATCTGCCAGTCTTGAACAGAAAGCTACAACATACACTGTAGGTATAATTTACTATCACCAGACCTGCCATTCTATGAAACTTCAAAATCAGGATCTCAGTTGCAGGGAGAAAAAAATCGGGATTTGGTGAAAAAAATCGAGATCAACAGCAAATCACCTAGGTGACTGCCAAGCTGACTTAAAATTTTTCCAGGGGTGTCCATAAATTCCTTGGCCTACGCCCTCAGTGTGTCTTTGTTTGCGTGCATGTGTGTGTGTGTGTGTGTGTGTGTGTGCGCGCGCGTGCGTGCGTGCGAGTTATTATTTTTTGTAAATCCCAAAGCATCGCGTCAAGCACTCCTAGTCCAAGTGTCTATAACCCCCCCCCCCCCCCCCCTCAACCTACCTCTACCAATAAGTCCCGAAATACATGAACTTAAGTTGACCCCGTCAACGGACGGTCCCCGACACGCAGAATTCACAAGGCGATGACATGTCACGTGACGCGAATGCGCGATTGAAACAATTTATTTACTAACGGGTGCGACTAACTGCACGTTCACACAGAACACTCGGATGAGCGACAGTCGTTCTACTTCTAGGATAACGACGGCGGCGGACCGACCAAAAGTACCAACACATTTCTTATCCCTCATGTGTTCAAACTATAGCAACGACAACAGCCGTTTGTTAGTCTTGTCATCGCAGTTACAGTTAGGTGTGTAAGGGTGAGAAAGACAGTCGCTCGTCCGAGTGTTTGATGTGAACGCGCAGTTACCAGACCTCGGACAAGGTTTGTTTTGAAAGTAACAGCGGAACTACGAATATTATCGATTATTTGTATGTCCCAAATTGTAACAGTTACCAGGCTATCATCGGAGAATTCTGAGTGCGGGAAAAGATCACACACAACTTGGGGCGAGTCAACTACTAAATGCGGCATCGATATTTCGGGAAATAGTGCTCCGAGTTCCTACTGACAAAAAGTTCTACGGGTGTTTCCCGCAATAAAGGAGAAGGCAGAGTAAGTTTTTAGAAAGATCCGGCACAACAGAAGACTGTGACAAAAAAATAAATCGGGATACACGCGATCGAAATCGGGAAAATCAGGATGCTTGAGATTTGGGGCAAAAAATCGGGATATCCCGACTAAATCGGGATATCCCGACTAAATCGGGATGAGTGGCAGGTCTGTATCACCCATCCAATGAAACGTGAACACATTATTTCAATAACACAGACTTGCAAAGTATGAAGGGTCCTGATTCCGCACACGGCCTGCACCAACGCGCGCTTTGCAGAAAACTCTAATCAAAATTCTGAAATGTTCTTCCAAGTTTTTGTCCTCTAGTGTTGCCTTCACATCGTCCCCATTGTATCTTAAACCCCCCAAAAATAAATAATCTCCCCCCATATTCCGTAGTCGTATACTTCGCAAGGCCGTTACTCCCACCAAAGACGGTCCTTGCTCACCCGATGCCGCGTTTATTTATGACGCGAATGCGCGCAGGTTCAGTGACCGGTCACGATGGCGAGCCAATCTAAAAATCAGATGACGCTTGTATTTTCTTTTCTTTTTTTTCCACAAGTGACAGCACAGAGGCGAGTCCGAGCATTGATTAAACTTTATTTGCACGGCGACATTGCGTTTATACTGCACAACCTGCATGTCACAAATGTTGCGTTAGCAGACAACTGCTGGCAACGAAAGTGAAAGCAGATCTTGATTTTCCCGATCGAGCCTCGGTGTCACACACGCTTCCGCCTGCTGCCATAGCTGCTGCCTATTCGCGTGAAAGTGAAACGTACTCTCCGAACGCGGAAAAGCTGAACGAATATAATATCACGATCGCGACCGGCAAAAATGAACTTACTGACCTTATCGGACTTGGTTTTCAAATATTCCAGTTCTGCGATACTGATACTATTTTGACAAAAGATGGGACTTGAGATAATTAGGTTTACTCGCCCAAGCTGAATCTTGAATTTTTAGCATTCCAGGATGCGTATTTTTTCATCAAAAGTCGTATTCGCGTATTTTCGGCAAAAAATCATACTAAAATACGTGTAAAGTCGTACTGGCTGGCATCTCTGTTAAAACACAATGAAGAGGGACAAATTAAAAGGAAACAGTAATACATACATAGTATGTAATGTACTCATTCTTCACTTGAAATTTCATTGAAAATAACAAATGAACGTGGTGTCAACAAGTGAGAAAGAGAGGATGAGAAGTGAAAGTGAAAGTAAACTTTCTAGGTTTTCTTTTTAAAAAAAAGTAAAGTTAATGAGGTTCGGTTTCTTTATTTTTGGGTTCTTGTATTTTTTCTTTTTTCTTTTCTTGATTATTAATCCCCAGGTTTGTTTTTCGATACTTTTATTCCCGAGCCGTGGTTTTTTAAAATGAAAAATGCAAAAATCGTGTCTGCGATTCACGGACCAAAATTTGCCAAAAATCGCGGCCGCGATTCCCAGGTCGCAGCCGCGACAAACGCAGATGCTACCTCAAGTTCAAGCAGTAAACAAAGTAATTTTAGTTTTAGTAGAGGTTTTACGGAACTCGCAACTGCATAAGGTCATATGAGCGCCAGAAGATTAGAGGTGTTACAAGAGAGTAACAAACATAAAAAATAAGAAGGGGAGATAAGGACAATAGATATTTGATAGGAAAGAAGAAGCAAACCACACCAGAGTACCCGCCAAACAGTACAGCTGAGATGACAGACACTCAACACAGTACAGCTGAGATGACAGACACTCAACACAGTACAGCTGAGATGACAGACACTCAACACAGTACAGCTGAGATGACAGAAAAACAACACAGTCCAGCTGAGATGACAGAAAAACAACACAGTACCGCCGAGATGAGACAAAATCACCATGGTACAGATTAGATGACAGACACTCAATACATTACAGATGACAGACAATCAACACAGTATAGCAGAGCTGATCACTCAATCAACAGTACAGCTGAGACGACAGACACTCAACACAGTACAGCTGAGATGACAGACACTCAATCAACAGTACAGCTGAGACGACAGTCAGTCAACACAGTATAGCTGCATATTCCTATTAGATCACAAGAGAACAGGATCAGCTGCGTTCGACAACAAAAAGAAAAAAACAAACACAAGGCTTCCTAATTTGGCAAAAGAACATCATGTTAAATCCATGACAATAGTATAACATTAGATAGAGCCAAACAGTTTACATTACTGATCAGGAGAGCAAAAAAAAAGAAAACACAAGTCAACAACATCTTGAAAAGGTTACAATAGCATATATGTAATGTATATATTTTCTTTTTAAATATTCAAGGCATAACGTCAGGAAACAATTTGTCAAGCATTTCATAAACCATTTTGGCCAAGATGGACATTGTCATGTCGAGTGTAACAATATGGAAATACGTACATAAAAAAAGCCTAAAACATTAGTATTTATTGTCAAATTCAATCTCTTTCCATCCAACAGAGAGCACGCTATAACTCCCTCGACTGGCCAGTTCATCAACTCGGTCCCCACATAAGGACATGAAGCACATGCAGCCTGTCAGGCTCAAGCCTATCAATCCCACATCCCTTCTCTACATATTGCAAAGTACCCTTATCATTATATACAGTAGGATCAACCAAAGAAAAGCACTTTTCCTGGGATACAATGTTCTACCCAGCAGAGCCAAAAATCCAACTTGCAATTTTGTTAAAGCGAGTCCACTCCTCTACCACTGAATTTAGATGTTCCTAAACAGGGTAAAAATAATTTCCCATAAAGGACATATCAAAAGAATAAATAGACATAAAATCATTAACCCATTGCACCCGAGATACGAGTACCTTCGTAGCTTCTGCGGGCTTCCGTCCACATAGTTGTAGCAAAATACCAGTCCACAAAATTGAGTCCGAGCCGCTTATCCAGGTTTCTATTGAAAATAATAGGTCGCTTGTAGCTTGTAAAAACTTTTGCTGGCTTGTTTCGATCCAGTTTTTCTCCCAGTACGAGTTAGTTTTGTTGTTTTGTCACCGCAAATCATGGCGAGAAAGTGAGCACTAAAATCTTCACGGACGAGAAGATGAAAAAAACAGCTACAAATGTCACTAGTACCACGGCTATTTTTGTGTTTGTTAAAATACGTTAACCTACCTTGTTTTTAGTTTTGCAAAGAAAGTGAAAGTAGATGTAAATCTAGAAAAACAAGGCGATCAGATTCATTTTAGTGCCTTGAAAACTTCAAAGAAAAGCTAGATCTAGACCATAGATTTACTATAAGTTGCTATGGCTAAATCGAGAGCTGATGAGTTGCAGTTGGGCAAAGAATATATTGTTTTCTCTGCTCTTTCCTTCATCTTTCTCTCTAATAATATTAAAAGAACATTTTAAGTAAAATCTAAGTGAAATTTCATATTGATGGTTTAAATAGTTTGGGCACAATGTGTGTCGAAGGTTAGTGCGTCGAGTTCAGACCGATTCCCCCCACCCCCCGCTCGTGGCAAGCCATGTAGACACAAGTGCACTGCTGCGGCAACGCAGGGCGAATTGGGTTAATGTTCATGGGAAACAAACAGCAACATCAAAAAGTGGTTCAAAAACAGCTTCATCACAGACAACACTTCCCCCACCCCCACAGCTAAACCTTAGGCCTTGGCTTCTTAATTAAGTTTACATAAATTCAGAGAGTGTAAGCGTCCTACCAGACTAGGCTTAGAGACTATAAATGTTGTGCCCCATCGCCTTGCTGGCTCCACACCAAGCAACTGAAAACATTTTTAAAAAGGTTATCTTAAAACCAGGAGTTCAAATCTCTACAAAATTCCTTTCCCTTTTAAACAACAACCCAAAAAGGAAGCTGCAGAGCTAAATCTGGAAACGTTCAGGGAATCTCAGACACAAACCAAGTTTCACAGGCCAAAAAGTAAAATATTGGTTATCAAATAAAAATGTAAATATTCCACAACAGCAAAAAGGACATGACATTTATGGACCCTCCATATAAGCATGGCAAATCATCTCAGGGTTAATTTAAAAACAATCTTTTGGTGTTTGACAAAACAATCATCAAATAGTCCAACAAAACAAACAACTTCTGGTTCAATAAAGTAATCATTCCCTGGTTTTACAGAATAGACATCAGATGGTTCTAAAAAACAACTGGCATACTACTCAATAAAATAATCATCCCATGTTTTGACAAAATAATCATACCATATTTGACAGAAACAATCACCCTATGATTTTTGTGCATGCGTGAGTGTCCACCAGATCAGGTGTGAGTGTGTGTGTGGCATGGATAGCCCACATGCTTAAGAGCACTTGACAAAAGCTTCTGTACAATCCTTTGTGCACAGGTTCTGACTGGGAAAAGTGCAGAGACGCTGAACCCATCAGAACCACCATTGATCTCCACCAGCAGCTCTCAGAGCTGGGACTCAAAGAAGCACATAGACAGCAAGTGGCGAAAAGGCAAGGCAGACATTCAGAAACACAGAGGGACAATATTATAAGGGGGAACAGTGTGAGCTACTAGTGGTGCTCTCCACCCACCCACCCACCCACACTCCTACTCTCTCAGACTGGACAGGGATGAGCAGATGTTGCACTCATCACAACCCTGACCCTTCATGGTTCTGTGATCGTACTGGGGTTAAAGTTCAAGGTGATATCTGTCAGCACTGAGAGAAAGTGTTCGTTCTACAACACATTGTTGCTGCATTTTGTAACCTCTATTCCACTCTTGTTTGCAGCAAATCCTTAACAGTAATAAAGCTTCCAAATTTCCGCCAAGTAATTTTACACGCAAAAAAAGCAATTAGGTGGAGAAATATGGACAGGAGATTTCAGTAAAAAAACCCCTATGAAAAACAATTCCCCCACCTACCCAGATGTGCCTCTTTTCACAATTAAGTTCACAAAAGCGCATTGTAAAAATAAGAAAAAGGCAAAGAGAAAAATCTTTAAGAAAACAACAGAAAATAATCCAGGAGAACTCCTCTTGTGCATCTTTCATTTACAAACAAAATGAAAAGGCGAGTGGCCAAAATATCACAAATTTATATATACATATATATATATGTTTAAAAAAAAGAAAATCATGCAGGTAAAATAGACTCATGAGGCCAACCTAGGTGTTTCCTTTCCTATAACAAGCAAGTTGACACATGGGGAAATAGTTGAAGAGGGGGTGGGGTCCGGGTGTTGGAGTGACAGAAATAAAGGCCTCAGATTTGGGTTACAAGAACAAGATTTGATTTTTTGCCACCACTCTACTTTAGTACAAAGAGAGCTTTGGTAGATAAGGAGATGATTTTCGACCTCCAAACCTCCAAAAACTTCTGCTCCAATCTTCTCAACCTCAGTGCTGAGCGGTGAATGCAGCCGTCTAGTTGCTCTTGCCCATGAAGCCCAGGATGATGATGAAGATGTAGACGACGTCAATGTACAGCTGGAGGGCGCCATAGATGTACTCCTCAGGGGACAGTTCGTACTTGCGGCCACCCATCACCTGCTGTGTGTCGTAGATCAGAAACTGCCAAGGGGGGAAGATTGAGAAACAAGAGAATTGCTTGTTTTAGTTTTCAGTAGAGTTTTACTGTACTTGAAATACAAAAAGGTCATATAAGCGCCAAAGATCAAAGGTGTTACAGCTAGAAAGAAACATACAAAGAAAAGAAGGAGGAAAGAAAAGGACGATATATGTTTGTAAGGAAAAAAGGAACCCACAAGTTGCTTTTGGGTTTTAGCATTAGTGGATAGGTTGTCAATCTTTCATGCTCCTAGTGCCAATTAATGGTTTTATATCTGTTTGTTTGTTTGAGTAAAAATGCATATCGACGGTGAAAGTCGCAAACTGTGTAAGTCCAAAAATAATAACATCTTTTTTTGCTATATGTATCATCATAGAGCCACAAAGCATGTTCTGTTTTGACATGAGCAACCCGTGTCATCATCATCCGGTGCCAGATCTGCGACAGACATCGGCGATCATGATTTTCCTTTCATTCCTTTGCTCGGAGGCTCTCAGAAAAGCTACGTTTCCCTGATTTTTCCCTGTTACCCATTTGTTTAGGTTCCCTAAGTAGGCCTATGTTGTTCTGGGCCTACCCCTGCCTCGCTTGCCCTCCATTTTGCCAGTGAGAGCTAGATGTTCAAGACCATTATGTCTATTCAGGTGTCCCAAAAACTGCATTTGTCATTTCCTGATTGTTTTTAACATTGAGCGTCCCACGTGGGCTTCATCAAGCACTACGTGCTTGACCTGTGTATCCCTACTTAATCTCAATATTGACAGTACATACCGTGCAAGTCTGTTGAACAATACTCAGCCGCCCATGCCGATGAGCGTATACCCAACTAAAAAGGAGTGTTTCAAAGCTTTGGTTCAAGATATCTGTGCAAGGCAAGTCATCGGAGATGCCAAGAGAAGTCAGATAAAATAATAGGGAAAATACATGGGGGTTGGAATACATTGGTTATTGACAAAATCCTGGAACATTATAACTGAAATTATTCATTTAATTAATATTTAATTTAAAATATGTTATAGTCGCAACTCGTGTAGTCTCAATTTTACATGAGAAAAAAACTTAGTTAAACAGTGTATTTCCTTAACCGTGTATGTTGCTGTAAATTTTGAGACCCCAAAACGTGTAAGTCTTATTTTATCAAATCTAAACAAAATTTAGCCTTCAAAATTACATAATATTTCAAAGATAACATCCTATTATTGCCAGAATCAAAAATAGAATAATGCGTTGGTAAAAATAACATTTATACAGTTTTTTTGTTTACCTCAAAAGGAGTGTTTTAGGACTAAAACAGTCTGCGACTTTCACTTTTGATATAATGATAGTCATTTAGTGTTGGGACATATAGCCAGTGGTGAAAAAAAAAGCAAGATCAAGAAACGAAAACAACAGAGGGAAAGTAAAGAAGTAGAACCTGACAATGGCACATCAAACAAAAGTGATGACAAGAGGAAAATTGTTGGGTGATTTGTCAAAATAACATACCCAAATGAGGTCAACAAATTAATAAAAAAAAAAAAAAGAAAAGACTTTTCAATATAGATTACTGAACAGCAGCACCGACACAGCTCTTCCCTCTCTCTCTTTTTCTCTCTCTCTCTTTTTCTCTCTCTCTCTTTTTCTCTCTCTCTCTTTTTCTCTCTCTCTCTCAAACACACACATAAACGAAAGTCAAACTGTAACAACTAGAGATGGGTTGGGCTTGCAAAATTAGCGTCCGCGAGTAACGAACTACTCGCTGGCACTATCCGCAAACGAGCGAACGGGTAACGAACCGTCAGCTTGTAAAGAGTAGTTCGCTACTCGCTACTAGCTATACATCGGACAGAGACAACAGTTCGCTCTGCGAGTGGACGGACGGAGAGACTCCATGCATTCGAGCGGGCGGACGGACGGGGAGCGACTCCTTTCATTGCATACTTCTTATAGCCCCCCCCCCTCCAAATTAATTAAAAAGCACCCTCCTGCCCCACATTGTAGCATTGTAGCTAGGCGTTCATGGCGGAAATTTCTCTCCCCCCTCTTGCCTTTGTGATAATTGGAAAGTAAACAGTGTGCCCCACGCATGAGGTGAAAGGTTACACACATAGTACTACGTCATCAGCCTCTCTCACTCCCTGTGGCACCGCTAGTGGTTTGAAACATCAGGCCTAGTTAACAAACAATAGACGATGGGCCTAACCTCCCGTCGAGTATCTCGTCTGCTAGAGTTTTTCCGTTTGCCCGCCTGCTCAGTGAATAAAATTGTGGAGCGGACCCAAAAAACGAACTGACTTGAGGCTTGAGGTCCGCAGTCCGCTTGCTGAGAGAGTCAAATTGTGGAGCAGACCCAAAAAATGAACTGTCTTGAAGTTCGCAGTTCATTCTCATGGCCGTCCATTACCCGTTCGCTCTTGGGGAGTCCGCGAGTAACGAACC